TTATATGCCGCGCACGCCGATTTTTTTATCGCGCCCTCTTGTGACTTCATTTCACCAATCGACGGCTTGTTCTACCGTCTGGGGAATCTCCTACAACCGAGGCGTGGCCTTTGTATGCAAAGTAGTAATTTAATATGAATATTCACAGTTGACCCTAGGATGCGAAATAGGATACAAAACAGACCGTTGGAGCGGGTTCGCATCAATAGCGTCAGCTTGTTATTTCTGCAGTGTTGTATGTTATAGGTAGTCTTTTACAGGCTCACTTCTTCGCTCCTCGTTCCAATGCGTCGACAGCGGCCATTATCAAAGGTGACTACGTTCAGCGTTGCGTAGTATTAACGCTTGCACATATACATTTTATCTCGTGATAGGTCATGTGATGCAGGTCATTGATCCATATTCATCACTTATTGGTTCCTCCGGAAATCCGGGGGAAACTAAAGAAAAAGATAAGCAGTTTGTACGAGACTCCCAAGACGGTAAAACGAGCGGTCGATTGGTGAAATGAAGTCACGAGAGGGTGCAATAGAAATCAGTGCGCGCGGCATATTTTATGCTCGATCGAGTCCGGTATCGAGTTCTGTCGTCTCGGCCCAAGACTAATCTTGAGCCAAAAATTGGTAGGTCAGAGTTCATATTCATATCAAGGCTTATGAACTTATCGGGGAATCCCCAGACCCCTACAATGTTAACAATCTTACTGCATTTATGGCATTATAATGGGCTTTTGCTGGTGCTACTCATAGGTGCAATAACCATACTATGTGAAACACCATTCGTTCTAATGCCAAAGAAAAAGGGCATACCTAAATGTTTCAATAGTTCGTAGGGCGATTGGTTAAGGAAGTCACTGCTTGGTCACATGTAGCGCGCGCGCAGGCGTAGTTGCAGCAGCGGCCGGCTAGCAAAGCTATAAAAACGGCGCGCAGGCAAGTTCAAGTTAACCTAAGTCGTCCTGAGTCAAGGACCGAGCCTGAGGTAAGGGTCGAGAGTCCGGTGTAAGGATTAAACTCATCTAGCCTAGCGCGACTGTGCCTAAGTCCCAATTCGTGCGTGTGTCGTTTAGGGGCTCGGTCGTTTGAGGGGCTTATTGGTGGTGCAGTATAGTTCTAGTTTCAAACAGGAGCTTGGGGTCGAGATAAGGGAAGATTGCTATCTCGTATGGTGTACTATTTACGACACACATTTCTCTCTCTTTGTGCTCCCTCCAGGCGACGCAACTACACGACACGACGGCTCCCTTGCGTCGTGCCGTCGGGTCGCAACGTCGCCTTCTTGCCATTACTTTTGTACACACGCGTCGTGCCGTCGTCCGTCACGTCGTGCTGTCTGAGGTCCTTTCCATGTTGCATTTTTTTTCGCCTAAACGTCGCCCCTTCCGTCGCCCATCGCGTCGTACTGTCGTGCGTCGGGTCGTACGTTGTGTCGTGCATTGCATCGCCTAATACGTCGCCTGAAGCACGACGCGAAGCACGACACGACGCACGACACAACGCGTCGTGTGCTGTTGCTCTTTGTTTCTCGGCGTTTATAGAGGGCGCCTCTACTGTTTTCTTTCATTTCCGCCCCCCATACTTGCATAGTAGAGTACAGTCCACTAATTCAAGCCCCATTGAAAACAGTGTAAAATCGGCACTGTTCAGGGCCCAATAACATGCATACCAACATCCTTGAGATCGCTGAAACACAAATAAAATTATTGTCCGGTCCCTAATCTTTTGATTTCTTTTCAATTTTTTGTTGGTTAACCAATTAAATTTTTAATTATTCCCACAAAACAAAATCACCCCCCGAAAAGTCAGATTGCAGCCATTTTTCAAGTGGCAACTCTCAACCTTCTCGGGCACTTAAAGACCATTTTGTTGTTGTTTGTTTAGCCACTCTGCTCTTACAGGATAGCTCAAAAACCCAGGCAATCGTTCCTGGCAAAAATTTACACAATTTCGCTGCCGCCATGGGCATGCAGAGCTTTGAACTTACAGCTTTTGAAATATTGTCCAATCGTAGAGTTTAGATGGTAGAAGAACTAACGCAACATCATGCCCAAAATACCAACTTACTTTCCGTGTATGTTACCAACATACACGGAAAAAGCTGCAAGGCTCTGCATGCCTGTGGCGGTAGTGTACAAAGAGAGGGTAGGTTGCAGGCCTTGTTTCTGTCATTGTTCCTTTTCATGGTTACTTTCTAACTTTGTGTTTTCATTAAGAGTGAGTTGTTGAAAAAAAGTTTGCTTGTTTTTTAATCAAATGTAAGTAGAAAGAGCGTCACGACCAACTATCAGCCTTGTCTCCAGGAAATAAATAACATGAGCCACAACGTTGTTTTAACTTTTCCAGCTCTAATTTTGATCTTCCTAATAATTATGTAACAGAATTGATTTTGTTCCCCTACTTTTTGAAATCCTAACTCCCCCAGACTTAGGTCACACAATTTGTCTGGGTTGCTTGACAGTGCGTGTTGGAACTGCGGTTGGTAGCAGAACTTGCAACCAGCCACAAGAGTCCTTGAGCAGGAGGTGATAACTTCCCTATTCAGTGACCTGCCACTTCACTTGGCTACTGGACTGAACGGAGACTGTTCTGTTGTCTCTCTGTGATTTCTCCTTCCATTGAACCTGCCATACTTGCAAATTCGTCCCTGTCCTGCTCTAGGTAAAAACGTTACCAGTGTAAGCCACTGAGAAATAGCGGTATCTATAAGATTACAAATCTACCAGAAATGGGAACTGCATCGACAGTATTAAATAGAAATCATTGGCTGGGTTTAAAGAGTGACGAATTCTGGGCTTCCACTTATTATGAGAGAGCAGTTCCTACATATGCCGATTTTCTTTTTTCTTTTTCTTAATAAAATATGACAGAAATAAATCCAAATCGAGGAATGGATGAGATAAAAACAAGAACAAATCAACACCAAAGAGTAAATAGCATGTACTTTGCAAGCACGGGGACAGAAATAAAAGAAAACAGTAAAAGCGCCCTCTATAAACACCGTGAAGCAAAGGGCGACAGCACACGACGCGTCGTGTGTCGCGTCGGGCTTCAGGCGACGTGATACACGACGCGACGAACGACGGTACGACGCTACGGGCGACAGAAGGGGCGACGTCTAGGTGGGGAAAAATGCAACAAGAAAGGACCTAGGACAGCACGACGCGACGGCATGACGCGACGCACGACGCAACGCGTCGTGTGTGCACAAACGAAATGGCAAGAAGGCGACGATTTGACCCGACGGCACCACGCAAGGGAGCCGTCGTGCCGTCGCGTCGTCTGGTTGCGTCGCCTGGAGGGAGGCTAGATAGAAAGAGAGAAATGTTTGTCGTAAATAGTACACCATAAAATAGTACACCATACGTTTGGATGCAAGACCAGCATCCCGCGAACGTGAAAACATCTAATAGGTTTGACTCAAGATTAACCCATATCTAAAGATTAAGTGTTTTGGAAATTCCTTCAGAGCACAGGCATGATTAGTGTTTCAATACCAAACGTCAGGCAAATTGTCCATGATGATGAAAAATACACGGTAAGTTTATAAACAATTTCCGAGGTGGGAAGTGGTAGACGAATTAGGCTAAGTACATTTCTCTATGGGCTGTGTGTTGGCCTAACGTTACATATACATGTAGACGTACATGTACATGTACAGTACGTAATGCACTGTACATGACATACATGTACATGTAGGCCTAGGCCCAGGATAGTTTTGGGGCAAAGGGGTGCCCTACACTAATTCAAGCTTCATTGAAAACAGTACATCAACAAAGTCGGGAGCCCCATTCTGGATTGTGAATTTGTGGGCAACCGAAGTCCCAGAGGCCTCTCATAGTGTTGTTCCTTCAGCAGTGTTCAAATTTGTAATCTATGGCTTAGGTTAGGTTAACATCGTTAAATTGAATTAACTCTAACAGCCCCGAATCCTCCAATTTTAATATGATTTTGCACACACCCTAGGGAATTGGGGTTAATCAATTAAATTTTTAATTAGGCCTAGGCCCATCCGCCAAAAACAAACTTACCACCCAAAAGTGAACATTCCCAAGTCTTCTCAGCCATGTCAGCAGTCATTTTTCAATTGACATCCCACAGGCTCAACTTGCTTCTGCTCTTCTGGCAATTTTTCTATGAGATTTTTGTCTGCTTTGCCCCCCCCCCATGGGAGCCGTTGAGAGTTGATCCTGGGTCTAGCCCAGATTGGACGCCAGTCTTCATTACATTGTACATTATGTAGTATGGTCAGGGAGTCAACCTGGGCTAATTCTAGGTCATACATTGTACTTTTAGCAATCTTAGTATGCCGACACAGACTCCTCTTTTCAAAGAAACTGTAGGCCTAAGGGTACTTTTAATTTTAAGTGTGCCGTGGTGGAGAATTTTCCTTGAAATGGGACAGTGCATCCAAAGGGGCAATCCTGTATTCAAATTTGAGTCAGTCATTGACCTCCATTCTTGTAATGGAAGAGCTACATGTACATGTATATACATGTATGCAATCACACACATGAAGCCAAACCACAGTTTACAACCATGCACAATTTATTTATCACCAACAGCGGCAAGCCCCCAATTACAGGGATTTTTAACAGATTAGAAAAATATATATATTATTACAAGATAACATTAGAAAAATAAACAAAATTATACATGTAAAAACCAAAGATATTACACATGCTGTACAAAAATAACGGAAAACAAACAAACATCCCAACAAACAAACAACCCACCCGCCCACCAAATAAACGACCCATCGAAAAACAACCCATCAAAGACGTGGACCAAGAAAAAGGGGGAAAAAAAGACATCCATGATGCTCAACAACCATAAAAACTTCACGTGTGAAATTAGGCTCTTATAACTTTCAGGCTTTATTTTCCTGAAAAAACCTCCCTGTACACAATTTCAACCTAGGATTCAAACCTACACCCCATTCATCACAAACCATTATGCTGTAACCGTGGTAACCATGGTTACAGCATGACCACCGCAATTAACACAAGTTGGCGGTGTTTTTACTGTTGATATATCGATAAACGGCTGCAACGTGAGTCTTATTCACATTGGACATGTGCAATACAAACACAACCACCATTGTTTGGCTTCATACATATGATTGCCTACATGTACATGTATACGTGGAGATCAGTGGAGTCAAACATGTCAACTTGGCCGAAACCAACTCAGTCCAAGTCAAAGCGCTCTCAAAGTCAACTTGGTCCCAAGTCAACTCGGTCTCTATGAAGTACACGTACCAATACTACCATGTTAATCACAGTTAGTCATGCAAGGAAATGCAAGGATTGATTTTGAAGAAATGTTGAAAGACATCCATCAACTTCCAATGAAACCTGTGGTGATTTTATGTGCAAACACGGCAAAGGAATAAGCACTTTCCAAAATTTGTTGGGATCATTAATTGATCTCAAACAATTTCATTTTGGTAACTTAAAACTGGCGAGACATACAGTATTATATTTTCCTGAAGTAAATATTTTATCTTTCTGAAGGTACTGGAAAGGTTGCCATACATGTATATCAGGACATGTATCTGCAACTTTGAAAGTTATAGGAGATAAGAGTGTATGATAATTTCATTTATTTATTCCAAGTTACGCCAACCAACACCATGCATGCATGGGATTAAACTTGATGGGTGAAAAGATACATGCACATGCCAATGCACACATAATCCTGGCTATACATGTACTAAGCTGTTGGATCAGTCCATCAAAGTGCAAAGATAAACCATAGTAGCAATACTTAGTGAAAGGGGATTATAAGAGATCCAAGTTTTTTCGAATTGTAGATCTCGCTAGAATACCGCATGGGTGCGTTTGAAAGGCATCGGACCAAGTTGACTCTGCCCCTCCATTCAGTTTGTATTGTTGACGTACATGGCACCATCCCCAATGTTAACATGGAACACTTTTATCTTTTGTTTCTTGTGTCCTAACATGAAATTTCATAATTAGTGCATTTTCTGCATACATGTACTGTACATGTACTGTACATATGTAGGCCCCAGTACACAAACATGACAAATATAGGAGTAAGCTGTAATTGTAGTTTACAGAATACCCTGCAACTTGAAAATACACCCCTGGGAAAGAGTTCCATGTACAGAAAAAGTGAAATTTAGCTAAGAAAATTCTGAAGCATTTACTTTAAGGTACTTTTTTTAAAGACTAGTCTCATACAGTAGGTTTATGCACAAGGTCATTGTGGGTTTTCTGTGTTCATGGAATTCCTTCCCACCCCTGCAATCACTGGTTACATGTACATAAGTATGAAGTGGACATCCCCATGAGAACTGTGAGACATTTTGACCTCATAGTCAGCCAGGAGGATGATCATGCAGGGTATTCTGCAGTTGAGCTCAAATATTGACTGCTTCCAGTAGTGTACTGGGTGAAGTGAAACTACACTAGCCTCCCGAAGTAATCCAAAGAGAGTTTTATTTTTGTTGAATTTTGATTTGTTGAAAATTATCCTGCACTTTTCCAAACTATCTCTTCACCAAATGTTTGAACCCAGCTCTATAGGGTTACCAGTAGTGCTTTGGAATGCGCACGATGCACAATGTGCATTTGCACGCAGTACCAGTGGTAAATGCATACAGGTAATTCCTTGGTACATGTAGCTATGATTATACTGAACTTGGTTGACTACGGTTGTAGTTCTGTTGGCCATGCAAAAGATAGCTGAAGTATTAGCAAATGCCGTGCAACTGCCTCTTTGCTAATCATTATACATGTACAATCTGTGGATGAGGTGTTGCATTGAGGTGTTGCATTGCGGTTGTACATAAAAAGGCCATACTGACATGCCGACTGCAAGAGATTTTCCCCATTGACCACAACACTGTTCATGACCCTCTGAGTCCAGCATGTGCGGGGGGGGGTAAAATACAGCTACAATTACATGTACACAGTAGCTGCTGCACTCCCTCAAACTGTCAAGGAGCAACCTTGGCATATCTGCGATAGGTTCTAAAATGGGCCTTTCCCATGCAGTCGGAACTTACAAAATGTACATACATGTACCACACTAAACCCAAACTATTGTTACGCTCCCACAAACTGTTCCCCTTTCTACATGTACATGTAGATTACAGTGTACATGCTACTACACACACCACTTACCCCACAGCGAGCGCGCAATGACTATATACACGTAGATTATACGGATTGTACACAGCGTATTGCATTCCACGTGCAACCCCGTTGCTCTAAGCTGCAACATGCCCTTGAACCGCAACTCCAAAGCACACTTCCAACTTACCAAAGTACCGAGAAAGGCTCACCCTTTCCTTTCCCTCGTTGACCAAGTCCCCCGTAGCTCACCCACGAACAGCCTTTCACCCTCCCGCTCCTAAACTTCTCGGACCTTACCGCTCTCCAGAAACTAAGTCAGCGAAGACCAAGTGTGTACAGAATCGTCGTAGACTTTTCTTCCATAGACTTTCTACATGTATGAATTATTCATAACCACCCCAATCCAGTGCTCCCATTGACTAAAACGCGGACCCAAAAGTCTATATAAAGCCACCAGCTCCAGCGGTCAGCATCGATCATTCCCGAGCGGGCAGCTTTGGAGAAACAACTCCCTGACCATTCGTGAGTGTATAGCTCCGATATGAACAACCTTTCTATCACTCCCGAATAAATGGCTCAGATTTGGACAAGCAGTACTTGAGTAATATCCAGCCTTACTAGTAGCAGTTGCTCATTGTAAATATGGAGAAGATGTAAATTATTCTTCGGAATAATGACGGCTCATATCTCCAAACTAGATTTTTGGAATGTTTGATACACAGCTTGGATGGCATTCATTGTATAAGTTCTTGCTATCACAAGTATCATAACACCTGGTCTCATAACCTTGTTTCACAGGTTTACAGTTATCTTAACTTTCAGCTAAAAGGTCAATAAAGTTACTGTAAAAGGATAGTTGCTTTTAGATATTTAGTGCATTGTACAGCTGCTGGCACAATTTCATTTACAGGCTTACCAAGTTGTTGTTCAAGTCTCTGGCAAAACCCATGTCATTGAGAAGCGATATAGGGAGTTTCATTCACTTCATAAACAGGTAGGTGATGAATAAAGGTAGGTTTAGAGTTTGTAATGCAAAACACTACCGTGGCTGTATTAATTAAAGATGCAGTGAAAAAAAATGTTTCCCCCCATTATAACCTTTACACAACAGGTGACAAGACCACCTTACAAAGTCAACAGTTTTCCTATTTACAATGTATGTGTATGGGGCGGTATGTACAAATGTATGTCACTGTGGGGCGATGCGGACATGCGGGACTCTTGCACAGTGGTGGGTAGTAGCTCTTTAGATTTTTTAACATCCAAGTGGGTAATTGCTAATCTAAAGGTCATGACCCTGAGTGCAGTCCTCCAATGGCAAAAGGTTTGGGCCATTTGGGGGACCGTTGGGGTTAGAAAGAGGAAGTGTTACAGTTACTCCGTCATGAATTAAGTTTTTATTACATGTATTTTAGCCTGTTTGTTTTATTCTACTGTGTGGTTTAATTTAGAATTGGATATACCCTGCATAAAATGAAATGGTAAAAGTTTTAGCCATTAGCATACATGTACTTGTGCACAATTCAATTCCCGCATAGACTTTCTGCAGCCACTAACAGCATAAGTGCCAAATTTCAACCTTCACCCATTTTACGCAAGATTGTTTTGTCTACATGCCATGGTAGCGTTCCGAAAAAATGTACCCTAATTGTCAGCAGAAGGCACCAGTTTACCAGTTTGTAAAATTAAAAAACAAAAAGACATTTAATAATTTTTTGATGGTATCATGTCATGAGACCTGGTATACCGAAGGTTAAGAGTTAAAGGATTTTCTTGATGGTATCAGGTCATGAGACCATAGGTTGAGGGAGAGAGAGAAAGGGGGGAAATGAGAATTTGATTTGTCTGGAGTAACTTCTGAGTGGAAGTACAGAGACCCGTTCCAACTTTCCCTGCTTCTGGAATCTGAAGACAACAGATTCAACAAATCTGGGATCAGTTTGATCCTTCAGAGAAAGGGAAATTCAGTCCCGATGCCCAGCATTTGTCATTTCCCAGCCAAATACATGACATCTGTTGTGGTCATCTTGACATTAGTGACGACAGTCTGCCTCCTGTCTTCTAAGTTTCTCAACCACAACATGAAAGTGTCGACTGAGCAAAAACTTGAATTGTATAAAGTTACATTACATTGGAATCTTCAATATTACAGTAATTCAGTCTAGAAAAATGATGATGTAATTTAAGTCTTAGATGATAAATTGAGGGTTACAAATGATTGTGCATCAGTATGGTTTTGAAAAAGCTAAAGATGGCCCAAAAGTGTGAAGTGTGAATCTACATGTATATGTAGATTCTTCAATGGATGTTACAAATCAAGTCCTGAATGAAAGATATTGATTTTGATTGAAGAGACATTCGCAATTTAAGTTAAGAATATATTTAAGCTATTGTGCTTATATATTTATATATCTATATATTTAAGAATATATTTAAGCTATTGCTAGAATTAAGGATTCTGTAAGGAGTGCAGAACACTAACAGATGTTTTGTGGTCACAGATTATCAGAAAACTTCGAAGATTTTTGCACACTGTATTTAATTTTAGACATGTTAGAAGGGCCTTTGTCGTACGGGGTGGTTCATCGACCCAACTACCAACTTGAGAGAAGTCTACCGTGACATCACAGAGAGGGTTCTTTACTGAAGTACACGTACAAGCCCAAGCATAGTCACCGTTGCTGGAAGCACAGTATACTACTGTATTGTTGACATTGTGTGACTTCTACCAGTTGTAGCCATAATTGATTGTTTTTTAAGCAGAAAGGGCCTGTTGTACATGTAAATAAACTGAAGAAATTGCTTGAGAGAAATCATTGAAATTACACGTAGAATAATTTCAGAAATCTGAGAAATAATTAACTTGAGTGTATTTCACCAAAACTGGAAGACAGCCTAAAATCTCGTGGAAAGGAGATTAGTTGTACTTGCAGTTTATATGTGAGCACAGCTTTTAGTATACTGGTAGTCAAAGAAATTTAGAAGATCTTTGTGTCTTTTACTCATATTTCTGTTACTTTTTCTGTTGAAGTGTCCAAGAATCCAGGGTTACCATTCCTTTTCCAAATCATCTAGTCTGGAGTGGTGACAGGAAGTCCCGGGGTATCTGTATCCATACATGTTCAGAGACATGTTCCTGGTTGTTTTCTGCTTTTTTTGGCTGGGTACCTGTCAGTAAGCAGGAGAAAATGAGGACTGAGGTGTTATTTTGCTTTATATTTGAAATCCTTAGAACGAGGCAAACTTGCAGAACAAGCCAATTGAACTACTTGTATATGTACATGTACTTTACATGTACGGGTATACATATCTCTGTTGCAGGTGGAAGGCACCCTGTTGGTGGCCTATGGTGGTGTGATCATAAGCAATATTCTGTGGTCAAATAACTGTGATATCAAGTATGACAGGTTACTTTTTTAGGCAACCTAATTCTGTCATATGCCTGACAGTCTTTTTTTTTTTGGTAAATCACTGTCTTGAATTTACATGAATGGAATTTAAGGAAGTAGAGTGGGAAGTGTATTTTTGTAAACACAAGCTACATGTACATTGTACATGTTCGGCCCTGGTTTCAGTGCTGCGAAGACATGATGTGTTAGTTTCACATACCGGTACATTACGTGTAGCTGTAATTCAGCAGATTGGAATGTTTGAAGGGGGCACCTTTAATCACTCCTGCCAGGGGCATTTATATGTTGATCCTGCTGGGACAGAGTATTCTGCATTTTTTTCTGTTTTCAGAATTCTTTAAAAAATCATACACTTACTCTAATCTGACAGACAACATCAATGGACGCTGGAATATTTCAGCCAGGCCTGCAGCCTGGTAAAAAGAGCCCAGACTGTGCGGTGTTATATAATTTCTGTTTGTTCCCGAAACTGGCACAGTGCGCTGCTGACGTCTTTTCAATAGGGGCCAGATTAGCGTGCAGCGGTGCTGTGTGGCTCATTGCTGCGGGGATGGAGCACTTTTGTCCCCAGTGGTAATCCGCTCGCACTGAATGCCCCAAATAGTGGTATACTGTTTCAAAAAATGCTGGATTATCTCGGCATAATGAAAGCAGCCAGTCAATAATTGGCTTTCACATCCTATGATTTAGAACTGGTACCCTTGCTGTAAAAATGCATGTACTTACCACAGGTTTCCGTCAACTGAAAATGGCATACATGTACAACATACATACATGTACATATGTTGAAAGATTTGGTTGACAGAACCAGTGCAGTTTGCATTGTCATAAATTTTTTGGCATTTTGAATAAACACCAAGTTTGACTACTTAAGTTGTGGCTCTCCTAACGATTTCAGAGGTACAAATAACATTAATAAGGGAATAAACATGTGCTTGGGTGATAGACTGGCGAAGCATGTACATGTACATGTATACTTATTCCCACTTGATTGACATGACAGCCTCTTGACCATGTTGGGCAAGTGTATGGGACGTCGGTTTGACTTACATGCTCTTAACAGATTTTCTAGAGATCGGAGCATCTGTTTAGCAAAAAAAAGTTGTTGCCTACATGTACATCAAGTATGCCCAATGCCAATGGGTGGGTCTGTAGTTTGAACCCCAAAAATGTGAATTTTACTGTTAATGCCTATTAATTTGCTTCCAATGTTTGCAGTTGTTGACAAAATGTCATTGAAAATGCTATTTATAAACCATTTTTAAAAACCTAGTTGCAAAAGTTACATATTATTTTTATCTGGGCACTTCAAGTAAAAATGCAGTGCTTTGTACATGTAGATACACATATCAGGAAGCATCTTTCAACATCTTTTTTGAGTTCTGTACAAAGGTAAAGGGTTTGAGAGCCACATTGGTTGGTGCCATCTGCTGTGTTTTGGATTCACAGCTTAATACCAGTACATCTTCTGCACAAAGGGAATCTGCATCCCCACCAAGTGCGCTGTTGTTTGGTTTTGTGGTAACATCAATATTGTTCAGTTTTGAAAAAAATGCAGTGAGTGTGGTTAACTGATGGAGATTTCTTTAATATTTCAAGGGCAACCAGCTCTAAAAGTATCTGAATGCGTTTGAGCATTTGACTATATACTGGTACACATGTACATTGTACATGTATTTAAAGGGTTTCACATTCAGAATGATTCATCCTAACATGGTATATAAACTTGGTGTACTGGTGCAGCATTCTACATGTAGCATTTGAATAAAATGATAGCAGTCTATGCTGAGGGATATTAACCCCTTCTCGGCGGGAATTTCTTGCCGAAAGCCAACTCGGAAGAATTCCAGCCTCACTTGGCCTTAAGGCCACCTGCCAAACTGCAAATTCTCAGTTTGTGGCCCAGCGTGCTCTGCATGTTTTGAATTAAGGTTGATTGTTCGGTGGCATGCAGCTCTACTCAAGCTTCCACATTCCAATTGCCTCTTTTCAAAATTGTGAAGCTAGTGATTATGATGCAAATTTGGTCTTTTCATTTCTGGGCTACACACAAGGTCCAATTACCATATACACAAGAGCCAGGGTCTGCCTTCTTTCACCGTAAATAATAGCTGAAAATCGGGCTGAGGGTCTCAATTTTTACAGCATGTCTTTACGCGTCCCGGTGTGAAGGGGTTAACAGAATTCTTTCCATTTTAAAGTATTGTATTTAGAAAGAAATTTGGATGACAAAAGTGCTTTGGTCTTTATAAAGGTGAAGAAATCCATTGAGACTCCTGACTTTCCCCCAAAAAAGATGCGATCGTTGTCGATGAAAGGCATCGAGCAGAGGAGGCAGGCATTGGAGACATATCTACAGGTTGGTATGACTGAATGAATTGTGTGGAGCATTTGGGCCTGGGGTTAAAAAATCTCCACTTCAGTAATTTGGGCACATGACCTTTTCCTGTTCAAAGCCATAGTCACGTCTGGACAGGCTGGATGGAGAGAGGGAAGGGAAAATGGCCAACTTGTAATTAACTCGTCTGCAAATCACACCAATTTAAAATCACTCTCAAGTCACAAGCAGTGCAAGTGAACTGCTACAGAAGCATTCCTGAGTTATTCTTCATCCTTTGTTAGTACAGTGCTTGATGTGACCAGGCTTGAGACAGGACTTGTGATTGATTTCAACCCAACTAGATCAAACCTAATATTGAACTTGCAGAAGGGTTAACACTCACCGGTTCCTCTAAGAACTACACCTCTTCCAAAAGAGATGTATTCCATTGTGTAGTCGCAAGCCTGCATCTCAAAGCTTCAAATCTTACAAACCTAATGTTGCCTCCTCACTGTACCATTTCATGCCAAACACTTTTGACCTATGGTTTGCATTATTGCTCTGGTTCTCCTTTTATACGTGTCCTTTTACAAACATCTCATCACAGATTACATGCACATCATACATGTATCATAGGTCAGACTAAGTAAGATTGGAAAGTGCATTATGGAAGCTAGAGACGTTTGCGGTTTCACAATGTGAAATTGGTCTCTTATGTAAGAGTGGAAATTCTGAGAACCGGTGAGTGTAAACTCGCCATTAGGACCAGGATGCTCTCGTTATCTTCAGGAGAGATGCCAGACTGGAGTGGAGCACTGACTTAAAAGGTGGTGCAGAGTCAGTGTAGAAGCTAGAATGTTAGCAGAGGATTGTCTTAGCCAATGGTTATTTTGCAATGTGAGCAAAGAGAAAATCAGTTCATGTGTGGTGCAGATGCGAATGTGTTATGCAAACATTTAATAGCTGTTTAATTTGTGCATTTTAGTATTTATTAGCAAGATTTGCATTTAGATGAACTCATTTTTAGTGCAAGGAAATTTCATACAAATGTCACATTGAATCAGATATTGCTTTAATATTGTATGAAGACTGTACAGTCCTAAAGGATGCAAAATATGCCTCTAGGGAGCTGTTAGTGTCATTCTTTCAATGTTTCAGGAACTACTAGCTAAAAACAACGTGCCCAAGTCCCTTTTGACATTTCTGAAAGTCAAAAACTTCAAAACTGTCAGCTACGAGTAAGTACATGTACGGTTCCAAAGACCACATGTGATGTATTTTGCTGTTTCTTCATTGTCCAAATTGGTTTAATTGTTTGCACATTTACATGTACATCATTCATGCCTCATGGTACAGTGCAACTCTGTTCAAATGGGTATGGCCATATTTTTTAACAGGAATATTGGCAGATTTATTGAAATGCAGTCATAAGGATCTACATGTACATACAGCAGTACACATAAGCATTGCATTTGTTTCACTTTAGAGGGGATGATACACCTTAAGGGTTGTTTTACATGTAGCATGTTCTGCTCATGAACTGGTGGAGGCTGTGTCGTGTCTCCTTGGTCTCATCTATGAACATCATGTAAAAAATCTGAACTCTTAATTCCCTTATTCACTCGCCTTAATGAGGCCACGGGGAAAATCTTATTCTAAATACGAAGGTAATTGAGCTTGTTTGCCATTGTTAACCAGATTGTTTGTGGCAACAATAGTGAGCCAACAATCACCATTTCAGCATGGTAAGATGGCCACTGGTAGCTTCAGTGGATACAGGAGCATAGCGAGTCCATTTTTTTATATGACATCTGTGGTCTCATCATGGAGCTCATCATCCCACACTGTCACATGTCTGTGACGAACTCTTCCATTTTCATTTAAGTGTTGGGCACTAATAGTGTGCCTCTGTTGGTATTACAGGAACTAGGCATGCCCCTGAAGTAAAACGTATACTAATACAGAAACCCTCAGAAGAGGGAAAAATGGAAAAGGGGCAATGTTAAAAGAATTGAACGGCCAATTTCATCAACAACCTCCAAACATTTACAGTTCTGCGGGTCCATGTGATAAATGAGAACACAGGAATTACCAAACTAAAGTTTGATTCATTAGAGTTTTTGATTTTATTCCCTATGTTATCAGCAAATTTTTCTTAGGAACATTCCAATAAAAAGAATAAACGGGTGACATTCTGAGTTTCATGTACATACATGTATGACATACGTATGTGAAACCTATTGTGGCATACCATTTAATGCTTTTGTTTTAAAATTTCTCCATGGAAACACCTCAAACATTTCTTTGTTTCTCCAACAGTCCTTGATCCTCGCACAGAGGGATTGAGGACCGTTACCCGTGGTTCTAGTTCCTACACAGTCTATATCCCTAAATGCTGCACTTTTCCATCCTATATGTAAGAAACTGCTCCTCACATGTACATTTACACTGTACCTTTTAGGGTGGTTTTTAAAGTGAAATCAATTCGTATTGATTTAAGTTTTGCATGCTGTTTGTTTTTCAGTTCACTCGATGAGCTGGGGAAAGAACCACAAAGGTATCCACTGAGTTATATACACAATTTCTGCCATCGTACATGTACCTGTAGCACTCCCTGGCAAGGTCACGAGCACTTCCAAAGCAGTGGTTCACTCTTTTCTGCTTACAACTCCATCCACTTTGCATACATTTAAAGCATGCCAGAACATGTACATGTAGTACTCATCGTTTTAACTTAGAAATTACATAACGGGGGGGGGGGAGTGTACTTTGCTGCAAGTTCTCAGCACCTAGCAAGGGTCTCAGTACCAAGGTTTTTGGTTTGTAGAGTCAACATAAATTTGCAGCAGTTACATGTATGAAAAATTTGGTCAGTTGTAGTGGGAAATATCTGGTGACCTCTTGAGTAGTGTTGAAGCTGTAGTGGCAACAATTTGCCATACCAATCCACTTTTGCCAAAATTTGCCAAATTGAAATTTAATATTTTTCGGCTATCCCATCCCCATGATTAGTGTTTTTCTGTCCATCCAATGAAATATTTACAATTCTTAGAATATCATAATATGCACTGCATTACTTTGTCATGCTTTGTTGTTTAATGATGCAGCCATTTGTGCCGGGCTGTCCACATTTCCTTCCCAACTGTGTGGAGTCTGGCTAGTAAAAGTTGTCTAAACCCCTGGCTGGATGCAAATTGATTATAGAAAGGTTTCTCATACATGTACATGTACTTGAACATTTGCACGTACATGTGAGCAGGCCATAATGTAGCAGTAGTACACCTTGTAAGTTGCTGTTTTATGTACATGTACCAGTACCAGAAGTTGAACACTTTTGCTCTGCAGTATATACTGAACATATGTCACCAATAATAGGTACAGTAGGATAGGGAAGGGATAGGGATATGTAATTGTAGTCATTTTCATGGAAACATGAAATATAAATATTTTATTCTTTTCATTTCATCACAAGTCATTTGTTACCCAGAAAACTCCCTTGAAAGTAAGATTGTAAATGAAATGTTCATTTGGGGAAACACTTCTGCCATGTTTGAAGAAAACCAGAAAACCTTAAGTCAGAAACATTTCTCCCACATGTATACACTTGGTGGGATTTGACCCGAGGCTGATCCTGAACATGAGATAAGGACATGTACCACAGCACAAATTTGACAACCTTGTGGGAGCACAATTGCAATTGCTCCCTTGCTCAAAGATAAAAGTTTAATGGGTTCCCTCCGAAGAGTGAGTTATTTTGTAATATACGTCCAAGTGGGAGCATGACTCACTGTGAGTCACACTGTTAAGTAATTAGGCACTATACATAGTGTTTTCCGGCTCTTATGTCTTCCTTTCATCAATATTTTGTCAAATAAATACAATGGAAATGGGTATGCCAGTCCCCCCAAATCTCATCTCTGCGGCTGGGCCATCTAGGGTCCTCAAAACACTAAAATAACAGGCTTGGTATGACTCATTATGTGCATAAGTCCGATGCTTCATAGGTCCAATGCCTGGGAAGTCCGAATTTTTTGACTTATGAGGTGTCGGAATAATGAGGCGTCAGATTTATGGGCAATTTTTTTTTGGCCTCATAGTTCCGACACCTCAAAGGTCCAATTTCTCATAAATCCGACATCGGACCAACGAGGTGTCGGACTTAATATGAGGCATCAGTGCGATTGACTGTGAAACATGGAGGACTGCGGGCCCACACGACGTGTCACTTGTGAGATTCAACTTTGTTCCCACCTCGTGCCCACAGTACTGACCCTGTTAGGAAAACTAAATTGAGCAGACTACCTGCACAGTCGTACACTGGTCCAGTATTTGTTTAATCCAACATATCACTATGCGTAAACATAAAAAGCATTTTTGCGACTGTAATACTTTTGAAATCTTAAAAATTTTTGTATATGTCTTAAATAGTACACCATACTTGCACGGGCAACCAGTCTTGTTCCTAGTGCTGTCTTCATACACTCGTAAGAACCATCAAATCAAACGTCAGACTTTCGAAGCGTCAGATTTTTGGAGGCTTGGATCTAATTGATTTTTCTTTCTGCAGGTCCCACCATCAGCCAGTGATGTCCTGTCAGAGTGATGCCTATCTTTATCCACCATCATGTAACAGTAGTCTGCCAGATAGCCTTGATAAAGGGGTGCGACTTGGACTCTATGAGGATACTGTAGAGGTCACATAATGTTGGTGGCATGATTGTTATACAATGTCTTTAAATCATGCCCTGTAATATGCAGCATCACTTGTTCACTCTTCTAGTTCCCAGGTCATTCTTGTGAGGTGACTTGCTGCCTTTCTTACAAGTTTTGAGAGATGAACTTATAGAGGGATGTCACATTAGTGCCATCTGCACGTATCCGCATTGAAACTGAGGCTCTCTGTGATGAATTTCATCGCGCGCCCCCGCTGAGTTGACACAGTACATGCAGTATCCGGTTCGTAAGTGTGACGCCACTTCAGTTTAAACCACGCCCACTGCAGGTACATTAGTTCGCGGTAAATTGCCATATTTTTTCTTTTGATTTTACGTGTAGAGTCATCCTGAAAGACTCTTCCACAAAATTTGGCAGCCTGAAAAGTCTGGACTTAACATACCTTTTTGTATTTTTTGTCTTGGGCCTTACTTTCAATCGTCTGATCATATTAAGAATTGAAGCTGACACATATAGCCTCGTTTTCCAATGCGGAAGTGCGCAGATCGACGCTAAAAGCATCGTATTGGGATTCCTCTATCTTACAGCAAGAATCTGGAATTATGGTTATGTGATTGCATTTTGCATTCCCGATGAAGTTATGTTCATGAGCACTGCTGTGAAGTTTGTATGTGTTCTCCTCATCTACCTTTTTATCAGTCTGTGGAGTAAACATCTCAACAAACACCTGTGACATGTGGCGTGACTCTATTGTCTTCACCTTCTTTTTGACGTGCATGAATTAGCAATAAATTGCCACACCGTCATGCATGAAGACTGCATAATATGTCTCTGATTGAATATAATTTCCATCAAGTGCCTCTTACGCATTAATTGGATCATTTTCTTGAAATATTTACTTGTGCACTCAAAATCATTTCTCAGAGCTGCAAGTATATTTTTAAAAATTTGGAATCAGGAGTAACTTCACATGTACATATACACTGGATACCCCGATGTATTCACAGACTATGTATTGTATATATACATATGGTCTTTAAATACATTACAAAGAATCAACATATACATTAGTCAGTAATAGCAATTGCTCATAAGTGGCATACCATAACATACTACATGCCAGCTGTTCCGATTGTTTGCTATTACGAGTGACACATACAGTGTACCATAACATGCATGTACATGCCAACTGTTCAATTTAATTGTAACTGTCCTGAGTTATAAGTTTTGAGACTACCAAGAATCTGAATGTGCTGATTTCCATACAGGGAAAAGAATAAATTCCTGGCCATTTGCAGGAAAAAGTGGGTACTTTGTGCTTTGTCAAACATTTATACATGTGCACGTATGTGTGTACATGTACCATAGCTTCTCTGGTGTGGCTTCTTATTTTGCTATGGACTCCTGGGAATGGATATTCAGAGTATGCCATAACATGGCTAGAGTAGTGTTTAAAAACAATGAAGTAAAATTGTTAAAGTAAGATTGTTGAACAGAATTGTTGTCAATTATAACTTTTTAGAAGGTTTCAAGCACTATCCAGACAACATCAAGGGGCTTAAAACTAAAAGGATGGCAAATATGTTGGATAAGGTTACATATAACATCTTTTATTTTTCGAAATTCAACAGCAAAGGCCTGGCAATCTTCTAACACTGACCGTCAATTCAAGAATGATCATTGTATTACTTTGGCAGACATTTCTGTTAAATATGAGGAGGTAACTAGTTTGCCAAGGTAAATAAGGATATTTCAAAGTCTCCAGTTACTTTTCAATTTCAGGGTATGATACCCCTGAGCTTAGCCCAATTGCAATAGCCTACCCATTTTCAAACATTTTCTTTTTCAAACCTAAACAGAGCCATTTGGCATCAATTATATGGAATTGCTTGATATGATCACTGTGAAGAAGTGACAAGGTTCACTTGGAAAGGGAGGTGTGGCTCAAAGGGTTACACAACAACTCTATGGCAGCAATTAAACTGATGAGCAGGATGGTTTAATGAAGAAACTGTCTGTTTATTATTAAACTGATGAGCAGGATGGTTTAATTCAGTTTAATCGCTGCCATAGAGTTGTTGTGTTGGTATAATTATCTGGGTATACCCAGATAATTAGAAACAGGGTAGTGACTTGCAATTGGCCAGGATACTGTAGCAATCTTGGGGAAACTGTGCTTTGTGAACAGAATGGTGGAGCTGAAACCAGTGATGAAATCTTTGAAATATATGGAACAGGAAACCATGGTGACTGGGGAATAAACAGAAATAAATACTAATAAATTAACTGGAATGCATGTGCCGACTAGACGACAACATAATTGTACATGTAATGTTGCAACAATTGTCCCCGATTAAGGCTAAGGTTTGTACTCTAAACTCCTCTATTTTACATAATAACACAAGAATCACTATATGATCTTATACTATGAACATTAAAGAACATATGGCTGTACTCACAATTGTCAGTAACGCAGGGTAAGGGCAAATTTGGAGATATTTTGATTGGAAATGTGCTTGGTAAACCTGACTTTAGAACGGAATGTACGGTGCAAGAATGAGCAAACTACTGAGGGCGCCCTACCAACTATTGCGCGGTCAGTAGACAGTGAGAGACTTTCTTACAGCCACCCCCACATTTGGGTACTAAATGTGAAACCAAAAAAGGAAGTTAGTGTTCAGTCTGTGGATGGTCCTCAGATGGGCAGTAGTCCTCGTCCTTGCATTCTGGCAGACGGATCAGGCGGGTGTCTGGTCTGGTGTACACCTTGTCACGAACTCGGACCTTGGCCGCTCTCACACGTCCATCGGTGCCAGGATGTGTCTCACATATCTTTTGTACTGGCCACTGAGCTCTAACCAGCTGGGGGTCAACAACCATGACGACGTCTCCACAGGCCAGGTCTCTGGATTCAGTCTGCCACTTTTGCCGACTCTGTAGACTGGGAAGGTAGGATTTGATGAAGTGAGCCCAGAACTGGTCAGCTAGCACCTGACTATGGCACCATCGTCCTTGTCCCATGGATTCTTTGGAGGTGTAGACGACCTGTGGAAGGTTAGGATCTAGCTGCCTCATAAGAAGCATGTTTGGAGTCATCAGACCAACGTCAGCAGCATCTGAAGAGACGTAACCCAAGGGTTTTGAGTTGAGAATCCCCTCGACTTCAGCTAAGACGGTTTGGAGTACTGGTTCTGCGACCGACTGGTCTCCCAAAGCAGCTCCGAGTCTAGCCTTGACCGACTTCACCTCTCTCTCCTAGGAGCCGCCGAAGTGGGGAGCATTTGGCGGGTTAAACTGGAATCGCACCTTTTGTTCGGAAAGCTCTTGGCTTAGATCTGGAGCCATGGAAGCAAAGGCACTTCGAAGTTCTGCTTCTGCCTCCTTGAAGTTGGTCCCGCAGTCAGACAGGATTTCATATGGTTTACCCCTTACAGAGGTGAAACGGCAAAAGGCCATCAGGAATGCATCTGTGTCTAAGATCTCCAACAAATCCAAGTGTATGGCATGTGTGGTCATGCACTTGAAGATGACTCCTCATCTCTTCTCTGTGCGTCGACCAATCTTAACCGTCATTGGCCCAAAGCAATCAATGCCCGTGGAGAAGAAGGCTGGCTTGGAGAGACGGAGACTGGAAGAGGGCAGGTCTGCCATTTTGGGAACTGCTGGTTTACCGCGCCACTTGCAGCAATCGTTGCACTGGTGCTGGTGCTGACAAATTGCCTCTCTGCCTCGCAGGATCCAGAATTTCCGCCGTATTTCGGCAAGAACACGTTCAGCTCCAGGATGAACGAGTCGCTGATCATAGCCTTGGATAAGAAGCTTGGTGATATGATGCTTCGGGTCAAGAATGATTGGGTGCTCAACTTCGCGGGGGAGGTCCTCTGCCTGTCGCAATTGGCCTCCCTTTCTGATCAGTCCAGAGGTTTCATCATGCTCAGGGCTGAGCTGTGCTAACCTGCTCCCAGAAGGCAACTGCTTGTACCTGAAACAAAAGTTTGGTCTCGATGGCTTCTTCCCTCTCGACCAGTGTTGAAGGAGATATGTCAGCAGTTGCTGCTGCGTCATGAAGCTCCTTGAAAGCCCGGATGAGGCCATTCCAACTGCGGTACTGTTCTGGGTTTGGCAAGTGGGGCTCTTTCACGGTGATCACTCCACAGAATGTTGCTCCCTTCAGTTCTATGGTGTCTTCTTGTTTGTCGACCAAGGGGCTTGCCGGCCAGCGATGAGGAGGTAAGGACAGAAAGGATGGGCCATTTCTCCATCTTTGTTCATTAGAGAGTTCAGACACGGTCTTACCCCAAGTGATGTCATCTGCAGGGTTGTTGGCTGTGTCAACATAATGCCAATTCTCTGGATTACTCAGGGACTGTATCTCTGCTACTCATGTCCCGACAAACACCTTTTATCTACAGGAGTCGGACTTCAGCCAGCGTAGTACTGTAGTGGAATCACTCCACAGGGTAATCTTCTGGATGGAAAGGGTCAACTCCTTTCTGAACAAATCTGCCACGTGTGCACCGACCAGTGCAGCAGAAAGTTCCAACCTTGGGATGGAAAGCTTCCCTGGAACGTGAGAGAATGAAACTGGTATGGATGCTTCCTTTGTGACCTTCAGTGCGCAGGTAGGCGACTGAGCAATAGACTCTTTCTGAGGCATCACTGAAGATGTGGACTTCTCAGTTGGTCGTCTTGGTGTCAACTTCAGGTGGTGTGTAGCACCTTGGCAGTCGAAGCTTTGGTAGGTCAGCCAGTTCCTGTTCCCATGTATGCCAGCTGGTGAGGATATCTCCAGGCTCTATCGGGTCATCCCAGGTTCTCTTTGACTTCCACAGATCCTGGATGATTACCTTAGCTCTTGCAGTGAATGGTGCAAGGAAACCAATTGGATCATACTGGCTGGCCATGATTTTGTAGACAGTTCTGAGGTTGAGCATTTGGTAAGCAATGGGTCGGTGCTTGTAGCCAAGGTCATCTGCATCGCACTGCCACTGCAGTCCAAGTGTGGCCTCGGGTGTGTAACTCTGACCAAAGACATGCCAAAGGTCAAATCCGTCAGATCTGGCAGCAGCTGGCAGATCTGCTACCACTGAGGGGATATTGCTTGCCCATTGGCGAATGTTGAAGCCACCTATTGCAAGCAGTGTGCATATCTTCATGACCAGTTCTTTAGCTGCTTTGGCCGAGGGCGGACTGTCCAGGCAGTTGTCTACGTAAAAGGATTGTTGGACAGCACGTGTGACCTCTTCGTTGCCCTTCTGGTGGTTGAGTACATGCCTTTGCAGGGCCAATGAGGCGGAGCAGGGGCTACAGGTTGTGCCGAACGGAAGAACCTGC